ATATATATATATGTATATTAGCAAATTTCGTAATCCAGGGCGCTTAACTTTGGAAAAGGGTTTTAACTCCTGAGGTTAGTTGATAAGGTCTGCGGCGACTGGATCCATCAAAAACGAGTTCCAGATGAAAACGACAAAGTAGGCTGCACATGTTCAGTGTGAGCTGCGTGCAAAATTAAAACTCCCGCCCGGCGCCCGGCCCTGTGTACCCAGCAGCTGTTTAATGGCAAAGGACAAGGACATCGACAAGACTGACTGACTGACTTAGAACAGACTCAGACTCAGAACTAGCACTCTGCACTCTGCACTCCGATAAATGGAATAACAAGTAACAAGTATGAATGAATCACGAACAAGACTCTTACAGCCATGACGCTGGCAAGAGGCGTTTGCACACTGAGTTCATGCAGACTGCATGCAACTTCATGAGCCATGCCACTGGTTCTGACGAATTACGAGGCAGAAGTTCGCAGCAGGTGCCGCAAAATTTATGAGCTGTTGCTGGCAAGTGCTCCGCCTATCCTACAGCATGGTTCCGAACAACAAGCTGCTCAGCTAGACTGACTCGGTAACTCATGGACTCATGGTTCTTCAGTCTTGACTCTTGGACATTCAATCTGGAAGTATTTGGGAGTGAATTCAGTGCAAGCAGGGCAGCGCTCTCTAACTTAGGTTCATTCCTTTCGGGACGCGGCCCTTATGCTTGTGGAACTCATATCGGTCAGAAACTCAGATGGGACGAGAAGAGTCAGCGACGACTTCAAAGCAAAGGCACCCCCAAATTGCCAGATTTGTTTGCTTGGCTTGGCAGTTGGCAGCTGGTACTTAGGTTCGCTTGTTTTGGTTTTCTTTTCATGACTGAATGAAAGCCCAGGCGAGGGGGTACAGCTCCTCCGACGCTTTGGCCAGCGCGCTGAAGCCCTCCGTGAAACAGATGGGTGGGCGGGCAGGAAGGCCGGCATTTAGTTTGACTCAGCTGTACCGCTGCATGATGGTGAACCTTGGACTGGGAATCTTTGCTGCCTAGGCCTAGACTAGACTCGAGTCGATCTCGAATCACTATATATATACCCTGAAGTTGATAGACAATTGGCAATGAGGCAAAAGCTTTGAGGAATCTGATTGGAAAAGGCAATATGTATTTACTATGTATTGTATAGATTGGCTATAGACAGCAAATAACTCAGTAATAGTACCACTACTACGACTACTGCAGTAACTATATGATGTTTATTTATATATCTAATATCTAATATCAATAATCAATAATCAATCTATTTCAATTTTCTATATAATTCTAGTGTTTGTTTCAGTTGGAACTGCAAATGCAGCGCAGTGCAGTCAGTCAGTCCAGAATTTTGTGACTGACGCCGCCGCCGACAAGGAACAATGAGTTGAGGAGCTCGGGTCGTTTGGATTTTACATTGAAGGCTGCTTTGCAATTGGCCAGTGAAGATGGATCCGCATCCCATGATCTTCTGGTGACTTGATTCAACTTTGATTGGATGCTAATGCCAAGTGTCATGTCAGACGACGTCATGCTACTAAAAGACTAAAGACTCAGACTGCTGTGATTGTGACTGACAGCCTCGACCATTGACTAGTGACTAGAGACTCATGACTCGAGCTACCGGACGGCTGGCGTTGGCTGGCAGGCGTTGAGTGACAAGAAGGAGTCGCAATCAGAACCTGGCTTCCGGGCGCCAAGCGCTCAAACCATGATGAGGGGTCGATGGAAACTGGATATGTTTCATATGTTTGCGAGACAGTGGAGATGGCGTCATGAGGGTTTCAGTTCACATTTTGTGAACCTTTGCGACTCGGGCCGCACTGCGTTATATACTATAGAGTCTAAGTCTAGAGTCCGAGTCCAGTCTTACAAGACCATGACCAAGCCAAGCCATGAACAAACACTGACAATGAGTAAGACAATGAATTTGAGGTCGTGTCAGTGTCATGTCTGTCGGCGTCGCCGTTGTCTTGATGGCTTGACGGCTTGACTGGGTTGTGTTGAGTTGTCTAATTGTCGTGTTATGGCATGGAGAAAGAAAGTAGTGCACAGTGCACAGTGCAGTGCAGTGTGCAGTAGTACTGAGTCTGAGTCTGAGTCTGTATGCTAATTGTGCATGCTTTTGCCGCTACCCGCAAGGCTATGATGCCACCAAGCAGAAATCCGAGCTCTTCATCTGTGAAGAATATTGTGTGAGGACATGGTCACGGCACGGCCGCGCTGCCGTGTTAAAAGTTGTTTCGCTAAGTTTAAGTGTTGCTAGCTTGATGTTGTTTGCTGTTGCTGCTGTTGTCGCCGCCCTGTGACGGTGACAGCCGTTTGTTCCCTGTATAAGGATCAGTGACAGCTTAGCCAACTTCAAAGACCTGATTATGCAACTTTATGGTGAAGAGCCTGAGTCTGAGGGACGATTTGCCAAAAAGCTGGAAGTCGAATGCCGCATTCTTCCTGTTCTGGCTCTAGGGAAGGGCTCCTTGGTTGTGAGTTGTGAGTTGTGAGTTTGCGAATAACAACGGTAGTATAGTCTAGTCACGTCTAGTCTAGTCTAATTGACTCAGACTAGACTAGACTCAGTTTCTTTGCTTCTTTCCCTGCCGTGCTGTACTGCTGTGACTGTTTAGTATTTACTGAACACTAAATCTACAGTGCAGTACATTACATTGGAAATTGTACAGTATAGTATAATGTCAGCTTAGCATACTTTACTCGACTCGACTCGACTCAATCAATACTCTCGCAGAGGCTTCACTGACTACGCGCAGAAATTGGAAACCCTCTTGCTCGCACTTGCGTTGGAGACCAACACGGGAGATATGGAAGCTTCCTTGGTTCAATATGGTGAACGTGTTGTATCAACACTTTCTGACCAGGGAATCTTGCCTGAAACATCAAGCCTTCAAGACTCACTTGGACTTGAACCTGTTGTGAATTGTGAACCTTGTAATTGTAGTAGACTTGTAGTAGTAGGACCAGGAGACTTCAGAAGTAAACTCTGCCGGCTGCCATGCTGCCAGCAAAGGCACAGAATTGAAATTGGGAGATTCGATTCGGATCAGTGTGCCTGATCTATGTCGTGACAGGTCAAAGGATATTTTAAAGAGTCTTGATGGCGTTGATGTTACTGCGACGATGGAGATGGAGACTGCTAACAGCGTGCAATGCAGGACACAACGAATTCAACTGGAAGACGATTCCTGCCCTTGCTTGATGGCTGCACAGCTTCCGACTGAGACAGTGGCTGCGAGGGCGCGTGCTCCGAATCCCAAAGCTTCAGGCACTACAGGCTCAAATTCAAGTGTTCATTCAACTGCTCATGCTGAGAAGCTCTTTCCCAACAGCTTCAAAGTTTCTGGCATCAAACATATTTGCGACAATGCGCTGCAGTCTATCCTCTCTTACCTTCCATCGTCCCTTGTCCTGTTCAGGGCCACGATTCTACTGGTTTGAGTTTCTAGTTGTAGGTGTATGGTTGGATATAGGCTGGTGGTGCCAGTGGTGGGTCATCCTGTTAGTGCTTGTGTCAGCTCAGGTGGTCCACTGTTTTGCCCAAGCTTCAGTCCCTGGACATGTTGCTGGGGAACTATGACTGGCGTGAACGATTTGTGGCAGTGTGTTTGGGTGATAGGTGTGAGGCAGAGCGGAACGCCGTCTTGAAATGGAGTGGGGACAGTCTAGGAAGGTGATCTCCTCCTTTTGCAAAGAAGCCCCTTTGTCAGCAATGCCGGTCCAGCAATCTCTGATTAGTACTCTGATCACTGATCACTGATGATTACTTTAACATGTTTCAATCTGACACTGATTTTGCGCAGACTCAGACTCAAAATTCAGACTTCTTGGAAAAACTAAGTTCAAGACTCGAGACTGTCAAGTCAAGACTCAATACAAAATACAAGTCCAAAAGAGTCCAGTCCGTCCAGTCGCAAAAGAGTGTAAGTGCAAGTGTAGTGTGCATTGCGCATTGTGCATCACTGGTAACATTCAATGTAGTGAGTGACGTGTACATTTGTACATCTATAGAATCAAACTGAATCGATAACCCAAATTAAATTGTTGTTGTTAGTTAGTTAGTTGTTATTATATACATTAAATAAACATACTTGCTCAGACTCGACTCGACACCTCAAACTCAGCCTTGGTTGACTCAGGTTCTTCCTTTGGAGCGATTACTTCGGACAGGCTGGAACACGAATGCATACTTGCGTGGTGTGGAGGGCCAGCACGGCCGACCATTTCTCGTGGAGGACAATTCCAAGCAGCACATTTCACGAATTTCATCTCTGATGAAGTCCGACTTCGACTGGTGTTACATTGGGATCATTGCGTTGATCTCTCGGGAGGCTGAACTCATCGGCTGTTGGTGTGAGGGATGCCCCTGCCACCGGATGGATACGCCATCCCCTTCACTCTCCAATCCAGCAGGGATCAGTAGTGATGCAGGGACTATAGCTGTAGCGAAAGCCATTGCTCCAGAATCAGAGATTGTCGCTGACGGTGTTGCCACAGTCTTGGTTGAGAAATGTGGACCCAAATCCAGGAGGAAACCTCGGACCCCTGAGCAAATAGAAGCTTCTGCATGTAACTTCAAGTGTTGTCGTGCGCCCGAACTGGCAGCGGGCGTTGCCACTGGTCTTCAAGAACGCTTTATGGAGGCTCAAGCCCCTTTGTTCAACAAGCTTGTTTCAAGGGCAGCTGCTTCTGACCGCGCAGAACTCACATCAGCTTGGACAACAGCACGATCGAAATTGTATGGATATTTGGCTGCAGTTGCAGCGCTTTGAGTTGTTCAATTCAGCTATAGTTTAGTTCAGTTGTAGGCAGGAGTTGTAAGTTTGATTGGTAGGTCAGGTCAGGTCATTCATGTTTGATCGCTGAGGTCAGCTTACAGCAAAACTCAGTCATTGGCAGGAGCTTCCTTGGCTTCTGTGTTGGATCCCCAGTTGTTCGGAATTGGTGGAATGCCATTGCGAAGATTAAGTTCAATTGATTAAGTTCAATTGATTAAGTTCAATTGATGTTGTTGGGGCTGTTGCAGCTGTTGTTCATCATGTGTTGGCGGTGACTCGTGAGTCAGCATTTGCCTGACTATTAAAATACGGTTCTACCTGAAACGGTCAAAGGGCAAACAATCAATCAGTCAAGCCTTGCTTGCAGTTGAAGTTTTAGGTGGCTTGAGCTTTCCAGATGATGGTGAAGTTCAGCGCATGGCCCTTCGTTGCCTGCAGCTTTACGACAAAAATCCTGATTCTGCAGGTTGCATGCACGCCCAAAGTCAGAGGTTTTTGAATCCGCAGTGGCAAGGACTTCGGCCAAATTCAGACGACTTTGATCCGCCCCTGCGATCCTTTGTAGAAGGCTTGGCTTGTCAGGAGCTGACTCTATCAGAACTTGTGCTGACCCCAAATCCATCACCCGAATTGCAAAGTCTCCTTACTTGGCTCAGCGGCTTCAGGTTAGCAACTCGACTTGGACTGTTCTGGTTCAGTGTTCAGTTCAGCGATCAGCTTGTTAGTTATGACGATTCAATCAAGATGCTCAAGACTCAACTCAAGACTCAAGACACTACTCAAGACTCGAGATTCGACTTGACTCGACTCGACTATTGAATTCGGTAGTTGTGATTCTCGTGGTCAGTGGTCACCACTGAAGGTACGCGTCGCAGAAAGATCAGTCGAAGGCCGACACGCACGTATCCACCAGGCGCAGAAGAGGGCCCCGAACGCAAATGTAAGCTACATCTCACATGAGCTTCGGTACCCTTCCTTGCAGAAGCTGGCAGCCAGCAATCCGTTGGCTTTGCGGGATCTTGCAAAGGAGCTTGTGGGTCTAGAGACCTCTGAAGGAATTCGACGGGCTGTTATGCCATTAGCTTAGAAAACTCAAACTCGACTGGACTTGACTTGACTGTAATTTCATGTAATTTCAATCTGGGAGTCTGGGAGTGGCTAGTGGCATAGATGTAATCCTAGTGGGCCTTGGTTAGCCGATTGCCTGGGCCAAGGTCATTGTTGGGTTTGCATCCAGCATTGGAGCAACACCTTGCTCGAATGGATTCGTCAAGGGTCATCAAACTGCTGTATCGCGACCACTTGTTGATGAAGCATTCTAGCAGAAAGAGGCTTGTGACAGAGATTCAAACCAAGATGCCACCAGATCAAAAAAGGCCAGGGTTTCTATTTTGGGTGGGGACTCTTCCGTCGGCGTGGATGACAAGAAGGACCCAATGACCAACATATTTGTCAAGTACCTCATGAAGGAGCTTTGGTTTGGTGGGTTCAAGCCAAGAAACTAAAAACTCACACGACACACACTCAAACAAAGGATTGATGTTTTGTTTTCTAAATAAATCTAGACTCTGACTCTTTCCACATATTATTGAAGACTGATTCAAGATTTGTCATCCTTTTAATGGGCTGCTGCCTGCTGCAGTGCCAATGTAGCAGTTTGTACAAGGGCCAAGGCCAAGCCAAGGGCCAAGTTACATAAACGTGTTCAAAGGTCAAACATGTCCTATTTATTGTATTTGTTTCCAAGCCGAACCCCAAACTCCCCAGGTAAGCCAGAAGAATGCCTCAGCAATATTTTCTTTGGACCAAGCTATGCTTCACAGCTGCAGTCGCACAATGGAGTCATTGGCGAAATTGGACCAAGGTTAATGGGGCTGCATATTAGAAAGCTGCTTTGTCAATTGTCAATGACGACTAACGACTAATGCTGTCACTACTTGTACTTGCAAACTCACTGTTGCAAGACCAACATTGTTAATCTAGTGATTAGTGGGCCACTGGCCATCTATGTGCAGAGCTGTCAAGGTGCCGCTGCTTCACGTTTTGCACTTGAAGACGATTCAATGGAAGCTATGGTTGCTCTGACTTCAGGCTCAAGTTATCTTTCTGTGTCACTTGAGATGCAATTCCCTAGCATCAAGGACAGCGACGCAGCGCCCATTGTGTTTTTTCGGCCTGTTGAATCCAGTTTATCACACCACACTTTGTTGGGGACTACATTTCACAGGAAGTTTGACTTCTTGGCGCAAGTTTTTGTTGCAATTCCGTCCGAGACAGAGAGGCATTCCAAGACCGAACAAATACTCCGTGTTGCTGTCGGAGAAGCGCATGGCCATCCCATCACTGTACAGCTGTCTCATTTGCCGTACTCCGACTTATCTGCCAAACTGCGAGTTTGGGGTTTGGTTGATTCCTGCTACCATGTTTGCCAAAACATGCAACTCGGCGGCGGCGGCGGTGAAGTTTTGCCAAACACTCCATTTTATCAATCACAAACCGATCGGCGGCTAGCTACTACTACTACTACTACT